TCGAGGGGAGCAGAACCGCGATTTGACCGGGGTGCGGGAACCGGGGCTGGCTAATTGCTATTATAAGCAGAGCGCCGACTGGCCCACTCAGACGGCGACTGCAGGCTGGGTGACGCTGAACTGGCTGACGTACTGCAAGCTCGTGCACGTGCGCTGGACAAAATGACCAGAATTCGAGTGGCCATCGCGGGAACGCGCGAGACCTGCGGATCTCGAAGGGCCGGAAGTGAGTCGCCGATGAGGCGCCACGCCTGGTGGGGATATTGTTTTTGGGTCGGCGGCTCCCAGGCGACGGTCTAGGAGCGAAAGCGGCGTCCGGGTGGCGGAACGAAGCGAATTTGCGAGCAAGCCGCCAGTGTCGGCGGACAAGTTCGCACACGCAAGACAAACTCGCAGATGCACATGCACAAAACAAAATGAACTGAATTCACAAGCAAACGCACATAGGCGCATCGACGTGAACCGAAGTAAACGGGCTGCCGAGAAGAATGTGCGGACGCACGGGAGTGAGTCGCCGGGGTGGCGCCAGACTCCGAGCCGACCTGCACAAGCCGACCGGCTGTGCGGTGCCGCCGAGACAGTGCGCGGGGGAAGACCAAAGACTGGTGGGGATACGCGGAACGTCGCTAATTTCCCCCTTCCAACAAGATGTTTCAAACACCGTCGCTCCCCGTAGCCCCTTGGGTCTTCAAGATAAGAGATACATAACCTGTCCACGGGTGCGTTCCGACTGGAATCTCAAGGCGGATCCAGAAAGAGGTAACCAAGACGTTCACACGGGCGCGAGACGCACTCGAAAACCTAGACAAATCGCGAGAGACGTTCGAACACCTCGATCGTCGATCCTCGCCATCCCCCTCCTTCCTCAACTCTTGCTATCTCTCTCTCTCTCCGATCTGCATACATAGGATATATTCATGTGACTTGCATGTTGCTTATTATCGCTCTCTTTGTTTTCTTCTCTCTCTCTCAACTCCCCGAAATAATGGTCAATATTATAAGCCGTCACTGCGCCTAAGACAACTCGAGCCCCTCGGCAACCGAGGATCGATCGTGGAGATGTGCCTCACGAGCGGCGAGCATATCCGCATCCGCGCCCTCGAGGTCTGGATGCTGAGGCACGATCCCGCGGATAGTTACTAGTCGTACGAATACGTTCCGCGCGATGCATCCGCGAAGAAACGCTCCGGTTCCGAGGGATCGCGGCCCAGGATCTCGGCCCGCGAGGCCCTGGATACGGACATGTTTTGGCCCATGACGCCCCACCCCCCCCCGCAACACTCCCCAAACCTTTCGCGATGGGGAACGACGGGGGGGGAACAGCGACCCGGAATCGGCGACACATTACCGACAGATCGGTGATCGGCCCTCGACAGGCCCTCGATCAATTTTTGGCTCACGAATGCTCGCTGCAGCCCCGGTACGGTGGCCGCGCCGTCCATGGAGTCAATAAGAAGCGCGCTGCGGGGTGGACGAGAACCCCTTCTCGGGAGGCGTTTCGTCCTCCGAGGATGTTTTGATGCCTCGAGCGCAAGAGGGGGCCTCTCCGAAGCCTCCAGCACCGCGCGGCGACAGACCGTCTTGTGAGATCTCTGTGGCTTCGAGAACATGGCACCTAATGGGGCACACAAGGGCATACTAGTACAGTGCGGGCGCGGCCGCAAGAAACCCTCGCCAGAAACCCGACGCTGAAAATCCGCGCGCGAAGTACACCTGAGGAGAAATCCGGAACACCCTGAACGCAGCAGCTTCTTCAATGGCTGCGGGAAAACACCGCGCAGCGGGCGGAGCGAAGAAACCCGGGATACCCAGACGAAAAGCATATGGTTTCTTGATGCGCACCCGCTATGTACTATATGTCCTCCTTGGGAGCATGCGTCCGACCCGGGCATATAGTATAACCATGTTGTCATAGTAGATCGTTTACCAGGCGACCTGGCCAGAAAGCGCTTCGCTACAGAGTTTATACGATGACATTTCTTGGCGCGCGTAACTATCGCCCTGTTGGGAACGACGCACACACATGATCAGTACGTTTGGGTGACGTTGATTTAGAGGGGCCCAGAGATGCCCAATCTTTTCTCAGTGCGAAAAGATGTCCGTCGTCCCCTAATGTTTCAGTCGTTTCCCACTTTTGCCCCCCGTGAGGCCATGAGCGAACAGCATCTGGCCTACCATCTGCGCCGCGCTGTGTCCCCACAGCGGTTGCCGATGGGCGGTTCGCACAATGGCAAGCGGGCACGCGGAGCGTGCCATGAGCGGCTGCAGAGCGCAAAGATGAGCCACTCTGGAGAGCGAGTTCTTCGATGGAAGTCGATAACTGTGAGCGACCTCCCTCAAACAGGAAGAGTCGAGCGAGAGTTGTCGGACAGCACGGTCTCTGGGGCTTCGGGAACATGGTACCTGAAAGGGCCCAAGGAGACACATATAAGTATACAAACTTTCCAAGATTCCCGATATTCTTCCATATCTTCCACATGTCCATCTTCCCCTCCGTTTCTCATCGTTCCCAGATTTTTTCCTGAAATCTGCGGCTATAGGTTTCTGTGTCTGCTCTCCCCTCCTGAGCATCATCCATCACCAGACCGCTCTGGGTAGCCAAAGCGGGCTCCCCCGCGCGGCGGGCAGACCGTCTGGTGAGATCTCTGGGGCTTCGGGGGCACCGCAACGCATGCCGAAATTCTGCAAAAGCCTGGGGCTCCGTGAGGACTTCAAAGCCGCGGATCCCGACAGCCTAAAAAATAACACCCAATGCTTCTGCTCATCCCTCACCAGTGGCCTCCTGCGGTCCCCCGATGGCCTCCAGCGGCCTCCAGTGGCTCCTCCAATAGCCCCCTGCGGCCTCCGGTGGCCCCCAGTGGCCTCCACTGGCCTCCAGTGGCCTCCAGTGGCTTCCTGTGGCCTCCAGTGACGCCGACGAACCTCTGCGGACCACTGGGAGGCGCAAGAAAGTCAAACTGAGTAACAACGAGAGGCTCCCAGGATCGTCCTCTGCAGACAGACCGCTTGGGCAGCCCGAGGGGGCTTCCCAGCCTCTGCCTGCGCCGGGCGCGAGGCGCTCCTCTTCCTCCTCCTCCTCCCCCCCCCTCCTTCTCCCCTCTCCTCCTCCTCCTCCTCCTCTTCCTCCTCCTGCTCCTCCTCCTCCTCCTCCTCCTTCTCCTCCTCCCTCCTCGTCCCGCATCCTCAATCATTCTCCCTCATCCTCCCTCCTCCGACTCTTCTTCATACTACTCCCTTCTGCTCCCTCCTCCTCCTCCTCCTCCTCCTCCTCCTCCTCCTCCTCCTCCTCCTCCTCCTCCTCCTCCCCCTCCTCCTCCCTCCCCCCTCCTCTCCTTCTCCCTCATACTAATTCCGCCTCCTCCTCCCTCCGCCTCCCCCTCCCTCCTGGTGTCCTCCTGCTGTCCTCCCTCCTGCTCGCGGAGCCCCCCTCGAGACCTCCAAGAGGGGTGCCTCCGAGCACCTCCTGGGCACCTCTACGGCACCTCCCGGGAGACTTCCCAGGGACAAGGACAGAAGCCACAACCCCGACACCCACCAGGCACCCGCCTCCGCGCGCCCTCGCGCCCCGCGATGCGCGGCTCCCTCCGCGCCCTCGCGCTGCCCCCTGGAGCAGGGGCAGCCCGCTGGTAAGACGAGGCCAGGACAAAGAGAACGTCGGACGAGGATGGATCGAGAGCCGATGCGACCCGGCGGCTCTGGAAACTGTCGGGCGCCGCGGCCTCCTCAGAGCGCTCCGGAACGCTCCGAGAGCGTTCCGGAACGCCCAGCAACGCATTCATCCTCGCCCTGGACCCGTCCGACCTGGTCCAGACCGCGACGCGCGAAGCGCTTTTCCCTTCTGGGCAGGGACCGACCGTCCAGGCATTCCTACAGGCTCACGACGACAAGTTCTGAGAACGAAAAAATCTAAGAACAAAACCAATGCTCTCAGAACAGAGGCCCGATGTATCAGCAGTGAAGAGAGTCTCAGTCAGAAAGGCTCTAAGAGCATCTCGTGCAGACCACAGAAAGGATCCTTAGAACATTCTTTGGCGGACCGATCGTCAAGCCAAGACGATTCGCCACTGCTTGGACCTTTACGCCCCCCGGAGGTGCCCTAACCCATCCGGCGCTCTCGCTTGTGTCCTTCGCTGTGCACAGGGGGCCCCCGCGCTTCTCGTACCCACCCCCCATAGAGGCTGGCTGTCTTCACCCCGAGGGAGCCGACGGCCCCGCGTGGCCCAAAAAAGCCCCAGCCTCCGGGGGGCCGCAGGCGGGGAGGGAGGGAACGCCTGGAAGTGAAGACCGAGCCAGGACAAGGACAAAATCGGGGGCTGATGAATCGAGAATCTCCGAGATCTGGCGGCGCTGTAGGCCGAGGTCGTGACGATCGAAGTCGGTACGGAAAGAATGGGCACAGAGACCGACAGCAGTTCCACTTCATTTTCAGAAGGTCTCGCAGTCGTTGTCCTGGTGATGTCCCTGTCAGACAGAATGCTGCTTGCCCAACAGCGGCCGCTGTCGGTTTTGACCAACATGTTGTAGTGTTGGGCATCGTACCTGATTTTTCCGTACCCATTTCGGGCGTTACCAAAAAACACCTCGAAGTGGACGAGGGCGACGACGACGTCGAGGAGGAGGAGGAAGGCGGAGACACGCGGACCGCCTCGGTGTGCTCAGGGCGGCGGCTGCAAGAGAGGAGGGGGCGGAGCACGACGACGTCGAGGAGGAAGGCGGCGACAGGCGGACCGCCTCGATGTGCTCCGGGCGGCGGCTGTCTGGGAGAAGGAAGCGGAGGAGGATGACGACGACGAGGAGAAGGAGGATGGGGAGAATCGAGCGTCGATGAGGAGAAGGAGGATGACGACGACGAGGAGAAGGAGGATGACGACGACGAGGAGAAGGAGGATGACGACGACGAGGATGACGACGACGACGACGACGAGCAGGAGCAGGATGGGGGAGAATCGAGCGTCCTCCGGAATCCTCTGGCGGGTGGCGGGGAAGGCCAGAGGCGTAACCGAGGTTGTGAACAATGTCGATGCTGTACGGCGAAATCGCCGCACCCCGCCTCTTCGACCTCTTCGGCTGCAGCAGCGGAGGCCGGCCAAGGGTGTGGCCCCAGGGGGCCCGTCCCAAGGTCCTCTCTTCGTCATCATCCGCCGGTTGCTCTTCGTCTTCCGATCTTAGCTCCGTCCCTCCTCTGCCCCATCCCCCTCCACCACCTCGTCCTCGCCATCACCGCCACCAACACCATCGACCCCTTGTGGGTCTCCAGGCGCGTGAGATGCTTCCCCCCCATGACCAGCCCCCCGGGAACCCCAAACCCGGACTTCGACCCCCTTCCCTGGGCCACGGGCGACCCCCGGCTGCACGCGTCAAGGGGACAAAGAGCGCTCCAAAACAGGCCAAGAAGGCCCCAAGAGGCCCCGAAGACGGTCCCAGAGAGCCACGAGGGAGGAAGGCGTGACGGGGGCATGTACCCGGGGTGGGCAAGTGGGAGGATTTTCCTCCTCCAATCTCCTCGTGCTCCTCCTCCTCCTCCTCCAACTCCTTCTCCTCCTCCTCCTCCTCCAAGTCCTCCTCCTCCGCCTCCTCCTCCGCGCCATCATCGTCATCAGCAGCATCATCGTTATCATCAGAATCATCATAATGCCCACGATCATGTTCGGCATAATCAGCATCATCATCAACATCGACACCACAGATTTCAATATCCTCGACATACTCCTCATCAGCATAACCGGCATGAACAACAACATCCTCATCCTCATCGTCGTCGCTGGCGTCATCGTCGTCATCGTCGTTGTCTTTCTCATCATCATCACGAGCAGTCTCATCATCAGAAACTATCATCGTCACCGTCGAAATCGCAACCACCGCAATCAGTACCATCATCATTATCACCACCCACCTCATCGTCAGCGTCATCATCATCATCATCATCATCAATATCATCAGCAGCAGCAGCATCAGCATCATCGTCGTCGCCATCAACATCGTAATCATCATCATCATCATCATCATCATCATCATCATCATCATCATCATCAGCATCACCATCATCATCATCATCATCATCAGCATCATCATCATCATCATCATCATCATCATTGGCATCATCAATGCCATCATCATGATCACAATCGTCATCATCATCGTCGTCATCAGCATCACCGTCGTCGTCATCATTATCAGTATCAGCACCAGCTTCAGCATCATCATCGTCATCATCAGCATCAGCATCAGCATCATCAGTTCCATCATTACCAGTAGCATACTCATTCTCATCATCACCACCAACTCATCGTATGCGTCGTCACCGTCATCATCACACTCATCATCAGCAGTCCCAGCATCAGCATCAGCATCAGCATCAGCATCATCATTAGCATCAGCATTCATTCAGCATCAGCATCGGCATCATCATCAACATCATCAGCATCATCAGCATCATCATCATCATCATCATCATCATCATCATCATCGACATCGTCAGCATCATCATCATCAGCAGCAGCCACAGCAGCAGCAGCAACAGCAGCATCATCAGTACCACCACCAGCATAATCAGCAGCAGCATCATCATTATCATCCGTATCACCACCACTTTCATCATCACCCAATGTGGCGATCTCGCGCTACTCCCGGTTCCTCCTCATCCTCCTCCTCCTCGTTGGCCCCATCTCTCCTCCTCGTTGGCTTCCTCCTCCACCTCCTCCTTCGCGTCCTCCTCCTCCTCATTTTTATCCTCCTCCTCCTCCTCCTCCTCCTCCTCCTCCTCCTCCCCCCCGTCGGGCACATCATCCTCCTCATCGGGTTATTCCTTCTCCTCCTCCTCCTCCTCCTCCTCCTCCCCCTCCTCGTCCTCCTCATCATCCTCATCCTCATCCTATGTATCCTCATCATCCTGCTCGTTTTCCTCCTCCTCCTCCTACTCGCTAACCTGTTCTCGAAGAACTCCAGCGTCGTCAGGTTGTTGGCTATCAGCCAGCAGTGGAGCCCCAGGAATGGCGCCAGGATGACGGCGAGCATGGACGACACCACCGCCCCTGGGAGAGACAGAAAGGAGGGACCCGAAGGTCTCGAGGGCGAGGATCGCAGAAGAGAGAGCTGCATCAACATGCACTCTCGGAGGTCCGCGCCCTGGCGCGCTCTCCGCGCTCCGCGTGCCCCTCAAGAGAAGGGGGAGGGAGGAGGCGAGCGCGAGGGAGGGGTAAGGGGGAGAGGCTTGAGGAGGCGCTCTCGCTCAGCAATAAGAGGGCCCCCCAGCCCGTGGGGAGGGGACGTGAGTTGGGAGGGCCAGAAGCGTGAAGGGATAGAGGGTCTCTTCTGCAAATGTAGGCCAGGCCGCCGAGATCTACGACCCCTCGTGCAGAAAGACGGGGACACAAGTGAGAGAGAGCGCGTTTCACGGGCGCTTGCCTTGGGAACATTCGGCGGCGCGTTCCGAACCGGGGTTGGGCCCCCCCCAACACTCGGCGCCGTCGATCAGAACCAGGGGGGCTCCCCCCTCGGCGCCAGCGCTGGCGCCCGCGCTGGCGGCCGCCAGCAGCGCCAACAGCGGGGACGCAGCGACGATTACCAAAGAGAACGCAGAGGTCGCAGAGGGAACACGCAAATCGCCAGATCGAGCCCTCGCCCCCCAGAAGCCACCGAGAGGCCCTGAGGCAGGTCCACGAGGCTTCACACATGCTCCTCAGACGCCCCCGAGATCGTTCTGACGAGACCTCAAGAGGCATCATCAATCAGAACTCTGACCCGAAACCAAAACACGGTGACGGGAAGCGCCGAGGGCCACACCACCACCATCACCACGACCACCACACACCACCACACTACCAACACCACTGCCACCACCCACCACCACCACAACCACCACCATCACCACAAACCACAACACCACCACGAAAAAATCCACCACCACCACCAGCACCTCCATAAACCCACCACAACCTACCACAACCACAACCACCACAAACCACCACACCATTACCACCACCATCACCACCACCGCCACAACCACAACCACCACACCACAACCCACCACCACCACCGCCACCACAAACCACGACACCACCACCACCACAACCACCACGCAACCACCACCTCCACAACCACCCACCACCCACCACCACCACCAGCGCCGCTACCAACAGCAGCATCACCACCACCCACACCGCAACCCACCACCACCACAAACCAGCACGCCACCACCACCACCGCCACCACCACTACCACCACCACCTCAACCCACCATCACCACCACCAACCCACCACACAACCACCACCACCACCATCACCACCATTACCACCACCACCACCACCACAACCCACCACCACTACAACCACCACAACATTGTTCACTGCGTGGAGCTCCCCATATGTGCATCTATTCGCATGGGCCTGTCCGCCGTGAATGTCTAGGCGCAAGACCTTTCGAATGCAAACAGGCTTCAGTTGTAACGGTCTGGGCATGAATCTAACTGCGAATGAGTTGGAGTGCGAATGAGCCTCAGTAGTACGAGCGCGTCTCTGCGTATGAGCCTGGGGCCTCCTGGGGCCTCCTGAACGCTACTTAGGCTTTTTGGGGTCTCCAGTAACCTCTCGGGGCCTCCTGGGACCTCTTAGGGAGGTTTCGTGCCCCAGGAGAGGCCCAATATATAGCAACAGACGCACACAAAACATTGCGGATTAGAGCCACAGGGGAAGGGTAACCTATAGGAACACACGTAAAACACCAAGGACTCCTGCCCCTTTTGTACACACCAGGCAGCCCGCGCAGCACGAGCCGATCCCGCCGCCAAGAAGGCGAGAGCCGCAAAAGAAGGCCAGGAGGCTCCGCAGACAGCGGCCTCCAAGTTGCAGCGCGCTCGCCACGCTGCCTGGGTGTGCGCCGTCAGGTGAGGCGGCCACGCGAGCCACCATCCACCCCGTGCCGAGCCTGAAAAGGCCCAGACCACCGTAGGCACTCCCCAGCTCACACGGCGCTGGCGGGCCTCCAGCTCACGGACTCCAGCATCTGCCGAAGCTGCACGCTGAGCTGAGGCCCGTAGCCAGGCGCCTGCCGAAGGAGGCAGTCGGCACGCTCGAAGACCTCCCCTGGGCCTTCCGAGGCAGCAGCTCCGCCGCCAGCAGGCGCCGCTCCCGCGAGCGCCGTGCCCAGCTCCGCCGCCGCCCTCGCCGCCTCCGCCTGCGCCTTCGCCCGTGCGCGCCTCGGCCCACGCCGCCGTGGCTCGGCACCGCCAGCCAGGCCGGCGCGCTCGAGGCCGCACGCAGCAGCTCCAGCAGCACCTCCCGCTCCGCGAGCGAGATCCGCCGCTTCCGCCGCCGCCGCCCCGCCCGGGGCCCTCGCAAGGGTCAGCGCCGCGCCCGCGGGAGCGGCCGCCGCGGCGGCCAAGCCAGAGCCCGTGCCGCCCGCGCCAGCAGCCGCCGCCTCCGCGACCCACCTGCCCTCGCGCCCCCGCCCAGGCCGCCGCCGCCCGCCGACAGGCAGGCTGTCAGCCCAGGAGTCGTCGACCAACGAGGCGAGGTCTTCGTCGTCGGCGCCGTCGACCGCCATCGCCGTGGGCAGCAGGGCGAGCCCCAGGCCCGCACCAGTACTGCCAGCACCAGCCGTCGTCACGTCGCCGTCGGTGTTTACCTGCTGCTTGCGAGCCGCGCGCGCCGCGCGGCGGCGCCGACGCCGCGCCCGCTTCGCCTCCGCGGAGGCACCAGCTGGGCGAGCGGCATCGCCAACGGCATCAGCATCATGATCGTCACGTCGGCCGTCTGCAGCGTGCGCTTGCGTCGTCGGCCGCGCCGCGAACGCGGCGGCCGAGACTGCAGAGCGCGCCACTGCGGCGACCGTGCGGCGCGGCGCGCCGCCGTCCACAGCGCCGCGGACCGCCGCGCGCACCAGCAGCGCGAGGTCGTCGGCGGCCGTGCCAGCCCCTCTAGCCGCGCGCAGGCCAGCCATCCCGAGGCGGGAGGCCGAGGCGGCGCGGCATGCGAACGCTTGAGCCAAAATGCGGACTCCTGCCCCAGGAAAGGCCCAATCTATAGGAACATTATTAAAACATGTAGGATGGTGTACATAGGAGAAGGACAAAATATAGAAACATACGTATAGCATCAAGGAATCGTGCTCCAGGTGAGGCCCAATCGATAGGAGCATACGTAAAACACATGGGATTGGAGCCCCCCCTGTTGCCTTCTGAGGCCTCCTGCTCCTGGGGCCTCTCGGGGCCTCCTGTTGCCTTCTGAGGCCTCCTGGCGCTTCCTGTGGCCTCCTGGGGCTTCCCGAGGCCTTCTGGAGCTTCCCGGGGCCTCCTGGAGCCTCTTGGGACATCCTGTGGCCTCTTGAATCTTTCTGTGGCCTCCTGATGCCCCCTGGGACCTCATGTGGTCTAATGGGGCCTCCTGGAGCCTGTTGGAACCTCCTGTGACATCCTGAGAAGAACCTGCGCCCACGAGCCTGGCCACCAACACAGGCAAACCGATCGAGGCATCCTCAAAATCTGGCCCACCTGGGGGGTGAAAATGAGCGCATCGCTTGAGACATCCTCCAAATCTGCTCCGACAGCGAAAGATGTTGGGACAGAAAACAAGCAAACCGCTTGAGACATCCCCACAAAACGGCTGCGAACGGGACCGTGCAATACCCCTCGGCGGCTCCCCTTAGGGACGTGAAAGTGAGCGCCTCGCTCGAGACATCCTCAACATCTGCTCCGACAACGAAGGATGTTGGGACAGAACACAGGCAAACCGCTCGAGACATCCCCACAGAACGGCTGCGAACGGGACCGTGAAAACATCCCTGGCGCCCCCCCTTAGGGATGCTGAAACCAGCGCCCCGCCTGAGACATCCTCAACATCTGCTCGGATACTCAAGGATGTTGGGACAGAAAACAAGCAAACAGCCTCAGACATCCCCACAACATTGCTGCGAACGGGACGGCGAAAACGCCCCCAGCGGATCCCCTCAGGGGGTTGAAGCCAGCGCCCCGCCTGAGACATCCTCACAATATACTGCGTGTGTGTATGTGGAACAAATCAGACAATGCAAAGGTCTGAGTACGAGCGGGTCTGAGTATGAGTAAATCTGGAAACAAATCTGATTATTAGTTAGCCTGGGCATGAGTGGGTCTCAGCATGAGTAACTCTGAGTAGGAGTAGGTCTGAGTATGAGTAGGTCTGAAGTTTGTGTCTGAGTAAGTCTGGGTATGAGGAAATCAGAATGTGAGAAAGTCTGGATATGAGGAGGAAGAGAAGGAGAAGAGGGAGAAAAAGGAGCTCTCCATACGTGCATCCTCGCAGCCAAAAACGAGCAAACCGCCTGAGACATCCCCGCAAAATGGCCGCGAACGGGCCCGTGTCCTACCCCCTGGCGGCTCTCCTTAGGGATGCTGAAATCAGCGCCCCGCCGGAGACATCCTCAAAATCTGCGCTGAAAGCCAAGGATGTTGGGCATGACAACGAGCAAACCGCCTGAGAAATCCCCACAAACTGGCCGCGAACGGGCCCATGTCCTACCCCCTGGCGGCTCCTTATAGGGGTGCTGAAACCAGCGCCCCGCCCGAGACATTTTCAAACTCTGCTCTGGAAGTTAAGGATGTCGGGCACCGAAACAGGCACACCGCCTGAGACATCCCCACAAACTGGCAGCAAACGGGCCCGTGAAAACACCCCGGGCGGCTCCCCTTAGGGGTGCTGAAACCAGCGCCCCGCCCGAGACATCCTCAAAATCTGCTTTGTAAGCAAACGATGCTGGGCACCGAAACAGGCAAACCGCATGAGACATCCCCACAAACTGGCCGCGAACGGGCCTGCGAAAACACACCCTGGCGGCCCCTCTTAGGGGTGCTAGAACCAGCGCCCCGCCTGACACATCCTAAAAATCTGCTCTGAAAGCAAAGGGCGTTGGGACAGAAAACAAGCAAACCGCCGGAGACATCCCCACAAAATTGCTGCGAACGGGACCGCGAAAACACCACTGGCGGCCCCCCTTAAGGATGCTGAAACCAGCGCCCCGCCTGAGACATCCTCACAATCTGCTCGGATAGCCAAGGGACAGTGAACAAGCAAACAGCCTCAGACATTCCCCACAAAATTGCTGCGAACGGGACCGTGAAAACACCCCTGGCGGCTCCCCTTAGGGGGGCTGAAGCCAGCGCCCCGCCTGGGACATTCTCACAATCTGCTGTGTGGAATAAATCCGACGATGAAAAGGTCTGAGTACGAGCGGGTCTGAGTATTAGTTTGTCTGGGCATGAGTGAGTCTCAGCATGAGTAACTCTGAATAGGAGTAGGTCTGAGTATGAGTAGGTCTGAGTATGAGTAAGTTTGTGTCTGAGTAAGTCTTGGTATGAGTAGATCTGAATGTGAGTAAGTCTGGGTATGAGGAGGAGGAGAAGAAGAGGGAGAAGAAGGAGTAGGAGGCGTCCAAGTAATAACAATAATCCCATCTTAGGATATGGGGAATAACAAAAAACCCATCTTAGGATATGGGGAAATCTACCACACCACCACCACCACCACAGCCACAACCACCACCGGCACCAGCAGCACAACCCACCAACCACCACCACGAACCACCACACCAGCACCACCACCGCCACCACCACCACCAGCACCACCTCCACAAACCACCGCCGCCACCACCACCGCCACCACCAACGCCACCACAAAACATCACACCACAACCACCACCACCAGCCAAACCACCACCACCACAACCTACCACCACCACCACCGCTACAAACCACCACCACACCACCGCTACAAACTACCACCACACCACCACCAAACTACCACCACCACCACCACCACCACCGCTACAAACCACCACCACCACAACAAACCACCACACCATCACCACCACCGCCACCACCACCACCACCACGACAACCACCACGACAAAGCGCCACACCACCACCACCACAACCACGACAACCCACCACCACCACCACAACTACCACCACCACCACGAACCACCGCCAACACCACCACCACCGCCGCCACCACCACTACCACAACCACGACCTGCCACCACAACCATGACCACCACAACAACCACCACCACAACCATGACCACCACCACCATCACCACCACCACCACCACCACCACCACCAACCACACCACCACCACAACAACCACCACCGTCACAACCACCACCACCACCACCACCACAGCCCACCACCACCACCACCACCACCACCTCAGAGAGGCTGTACAAATGCCCTTCAGAGGCCCCCGAGAGCCCTCCGAGACCCTCAGAGGCATCCATGAGGACTCTGACCCAAAACCAAAGCACGGTGGCGGAGCGTCGTCGTCGCCGTCGTCCTCGTCGACGCTCCCCGCTACCGCCGCCTGCCGTCGCAGGCGCCGGCGCCAGCCCAGAAAAGGAAGTCGTCGTCCCCGCCGCCGCCGCCAGCCGCCGCCGACGCAGGCGCCGGCCCGAGGAGAGGGAGAGAGGAGAAGTAGGGGAGGAGGGGGAGGGGAGGGGAGGGGAGGGGGGGGGGGGGGGGGGTCTGGTTCCAAGCCCCCCCCCCCTCCAAGCGACTACGGAACGCGCTTTTTCCCAAGTGAGGCCACGTCTTCACGATGTTATCCCCGGATAGCTCTCTGAGAGCGGGTTCGTCGGGGGCGTCCCCAAGAGGGGGGCGTCCAAGGGGAGGTCGCACATCATGGCCCGAGGCATGTGCGCGACCCAGGGATGGGGCTGGGGACGTATGGAAACAAAAGGAGGCGCCATGATATCTAGGGAAATATCATGGCCCACGCCACGATATCCACACACCCCTAGTCATCACCCCCCTCTTTGCCGCCCCCGAATTCATACTAGAAGCCTGCAGCACCGAGAGTAGGCCAGCTCCTCTTCAAGGCTCCCAGGCAGGCATCCCCGCAGCGCACTGCTTGAACTTGCAGCGTGTCCCGAGAGCTTTGTCCAGTGCTCGAACCGATTACGTTTCCGGTAAGCCTTTCCGCAGCTCCTTCGGGGCTTGTTCTGGGCTCCTGCGGGGGTCATTTCTCGAGCTTGAAAGCTTCCCAGACATCCTTTCGAGCGTTCTTGCAGGCGTCTCCCAAAGGCGTTCTGCGCGCGTCGGACTGCTTCGCGATCCCGGTTTGGACGCCACAAATTAGGGTTCGGGATTCCTTCATCCTCGATGATTTCTGGGGGTTCTGCGAATTCCCTGCGGAGGGGGTAGGCGATCCGCGGGGGCTGTACGGTCGGACCTAGGACAGAAGAACATCCTTCAAGAACACGGGACCCTGCGGCGGCCAAACTGAAGTATAAGTGAAGAATATTCGAGGGTGCCCCCCCCAGGATGCACAATAATATCCAACAGACACGAAGAACATTAGGGCCCCCTCCCCGAACCCACCTCGACCCCATACCTCGGTCCGACTGTAGGCGATCCGCGGGGGCTGTAGGGGGAGGGCCGGGCGGAGGGAGGCGCGAAGGGTAGTCAAGGAAGAACGGGATCCAGCTCTCCGACGTGGTGTTTTTTTTTCCCGACCATCCTATGGTTGGTCCTCGTTTTGAAAAGGCAACGCCAATCCTCCCTGGGGATATAACAAGAACGGCCTCCCTGCACCAGTACGAATGTGTGCCCTCCGCGAGGCCACCGAGAGGCCTCCCGCGATATCCCAACGAACATCCTGCGAAGGCCTGTGGCCCACAACCCAGACATGGTGGCGGGATGGGCCGAATGCCATAGGATCCGACGCCCCCTGTTGATTCATCACAAGGGCGCCTGGCGTGCTGAACCCTCCTGGGAACTCCTCCTGGGGCTTCGGCCCGTCCCGCCGGCCACCCGAAAAGACTGCCCAGAACCTCAATTTCCCAAAAAATCCTCCAAGATGGCTCAAGATGGCTTCCAAGATGGCCACGTTGGCCCAAGATGGCCTCCGAGATGGTCCAAGATGGCCTCCAAGTCCGCCCAAGATGGTCCAAGACGGCCTACAAGACGGCCCAGGAGAGTCCAACATACCTCCAAGGTCGCCCGAGAAGCCTCCAAGACGGCCCAACACGACCCAAGGCCTCCAAGAGGTCCTCCAGGAGAGCCCGAAGAGGCCAATATCATTGGTTTTCGTTGGGTGTTTGAAAGATGTTGGCTTTTGCTTCTTCTCGGCATACCGGCGGCTGAAGACGGCCCAGGAGGCCCTGGAGATCGCCCCAAGATCGCCCACGAGGTCTCCAAGATGGCCCCATGATGGCCCAATACGCCCCCACGAGGTCCCCAAGAGGGCCCCAACACGGGCCAAGATGCCCCCAAGACGCCCAAGATGCCCTCCAAGATGGCCAAGATTGCCACCAAGACGCCTCCAAGACGGCAAAGATGGTCTCCAAAACGGCTGAAATGGCCCCGCGATGTATCCAAAACGGCCCACGATGGCCTCAAGATAGTCTACGACCTGCCAACAGACCCGCAGGAGACCCCAAAAACGTTTCGACTGTTGAAAGATGAGTGCGCTCTCTTCTTTTCAAATACTCGACGGCCCCATACCGCCCAAGAGGCCCTGAAAATCGCCCCAAGAGCGCCCAAAAGGCCTCCAAGATCCAACCTTCGGCCGGCAGGCCCCAAGACGCTTCCAAAATCTCACAAGAGCCCCAAAGGGCCCCCGAACACGCCCTTTCCTCACTTTCCTCTTTCTCGTCCCCCCCCCACGTGTTCCCCGAAGGCTTTCCTAACCGACTCGGGGAACACATGGTCCGATGGTTTGGCAAGGTTTTGTCGTCAACGTTCGGCCACATAGGCGCTTCCGAAAGGCCAGGGGGCGACGATGACTCGCCGTAGGCGTCTTCGATCACTTATCCTGGCGAAGGACCCAACTGTATATAGTTGTGAACGCCGCAATTGTGAGTACTTTTTTCGGCGGTGCCCACGAACCGTATGAGGGGCATGCCGAAATATGGCGGGGTACACAACGCGAAAGAAAACGACTGGTCTAATCACGAGAAAGTGAGCGCGGGCGACTCTGAGCGCGAGTGAGTCTAAGTGTCAATGAATTGGCGCGTGAACGAACACATGTGCACGAATGCGATCATGGCTGCGCGTCGTGAAAATGCATATGAACGCGAATGGTTCGGCATGCCTGTGCGCGCGCACTCGCGACGCTGAGCGCGGCCGCCGCAGACAGCTTCCGCGGGGGCCCCGGCGGCAGCGCCCGCGCGCCGCGACGCCCATGTCGGCGCGCCCCTCACGAGGATCGCGCCCGCTCCCTTCCCTTCTTTCCTCCCTCTTTGCCCGCGCGCTCCACGGTCCAAAGTTGCGGGCGCAGCGCGGCGCGGAGCCCCCGCGGCGCGCGCCGGTCGCCCCGGAAGGGCCCCAGCGACGCGCGCGGGTCGTCCGCCGCGCGGAGCAAAGAGAGCAAGCTAGCTAACGGGCAAGGCTCTGACCGCTGGGCAGAGCGACGACGGGCGAGCGAGGCGCAGGGAAGAACGCAGCGCGGAGTTCCCGCGACGCGCGCTGGTCACCATGGGAGGGCCCCAGCGACGCGCGCGGGTCGTCCGCGGCGCAAGGCCAAACACTTAGTTGGGCAGTCGAGAGAAAGCGCGGCTCGGGGGGGGCGCTCCTCAGGTCAGGCCTCGCGGATAAACTCAGTGAAGCCGAGCTCACTGGCGAGGGCCGTCGCCCCCCTCCTGCACCGCTTCGTGCGCGCCGCAAACTGCTCCAACTGCTTCCGCGAGCCCTCCGGCGGCCCTGCCAGGAAGAACTCGATGCGCGGCGCCCGCGCGAGCAGGAGGTCCTCGTGGCGCGTGGCGCGCGAGAGCAGCACATAGAGCTCCAGCCGCCAGTCGTCGTCCTCCTTCTTGCCGTTCCCGACCTCGTGGCGGCCGCAGTCCAGGATCACGCCTGGGCGACGTCGGCCGAGGGAGCAGCGACCAAAGCGAAAACACCGGAAAGACCCTCGCTGTTGGAATGGAATATCCCGCGAATGCAAAGAGACATACATACGGGGGGGAGCGGGCCTCCTCCTCATCCTCCTCCGCCTCCTCCTTCTCCCCAGAGGTCTGGAGCTGTTCCCTGAAACCTTGAGTGTGGCGGACGCATGGTGGCGGTGGCATTGGCACATTCGGTGGAGTCCCCTATGGGGCCAGAAGCGTATGAGGGGTGTGCCGACATGGACGTGGGGGACGCATGCGGGCGGTGGCACTGGGGGGACGCATGCGGGCGGTGGAAATGGGCCTTCGGTGGAGCTCCCTATGGGGCCACGAAGCGTGTGAGGGGTGTGCCGAGATGTGTGGGGGACGCATGTGGGCGGTGGCACTGGGGCCTTCGGTGGAACTCCATATGGGGCCACGAAACGTGTGAGGGGTGTGCCGAAATGTGTGTGGGGGACGCATGCGGGCGGTGGCACTGGGGCCTTCGATGCAGCTCACTATGGGGCCACGAAGCGTGTGAAGGGTGTGCCGAAATGGGTGCGGGGGACGCATGCGGGCGGTGGCACTGGGGCCTTCGATGGAACTCACTATGGGGCCACGAAGCGTGTGAGGGTGTGCCGAAATGGGTGCGGGGGACGCATGCGGGCGGTGGCACTGGGGCCTTCGGTGGAGGGGCCACGAAACGTGTGAGGAGTGTGCCGACATGGGCGTGGGGGACGCATGTGGGCGGTGGCACTGGGGCCTTCGGTCGAGCTCCCTATAGGGCCACGAAACGTGTGAGGGGTGTGCCGAAATGGGTGCGGGGGACGCATGCGGGCGGTGGTACTGGGGCCTTCGGTGGAGCTCCATATGGGGCCACGAAACGTGTGAGGGGTGTGCCGAACTGGGTGTGGGGGACGCATGCGGGCGGTGGCATTGGGGCCTTCGGTGGAACTCCATGTGGGGCCACAAAACGTGTGAGGGGTGTGTCGACATGGGTGTTAGGACGCATGCGGGCGGTGGCACTGGGGCCTTCGGTGGAACTCCCTATGGGGCCACGGAATGCGTGTGTGTGTGTGTGTCTGTGTGTGTGTGTGTGTGTGTGTGTGTGTGTGTGTGTGTGTGTGTGTGTGTGTGTGCGTGCGTGCGTGCGTGCGTGCTGCGTGCGTGCGTGCGTGCGTGCGTGCGTTGCGTGCGTGCGTGCGTGCGTGCGTGCGTGCGTGCGTGTGCGTGCGTGCGTGTGTGTGTGCGTATGTTGTGTGTGTGTGTGTGTGTGTGTGTGTGTGTGTGTGTGTGGAGGGGGGGGGGGGGGGCGACATGGACGTGGGGGACGCATGCGGGCGGTGGCACTGGGGTGGCACTGGGGCCTTCGGTGGAGCTCATTATGGAGCCAGGAAGCGTGTGAGGGATGTGCCGAAATGGGTGTGGGGGACGCATGCGGGCGGTGGCACTGGGGCCTTCGGTGGACCTCCCAATGGGCCCACGAAACATGTGAGGGGTGTGCCGACATGACATTGGTGATGATGCCGGTGATGATGACGGTCGTGATGATGATCACGATGATGATGATGATGATGATGATGATGATGATGATGATGATGATGATGATGATGATGATGATGATGATGACGATGACGATGACGATGACGATGACGATGATTATGATGATGATGATGATGATGATGACGATGATGACGCTGATGGTGATGATGATGATGACGATGATGGTGATGACGGGAGGAAAGGGGAAGGGGGAGGAGGAGGAGGAGGAGGAGGAGAGGAGGAGGAGAGGAACGCGGGGCGACGTCTCTTCAAAACGAGGACCCAACACCATAGGATGGTTGGGGGAAAAACAAACAACACACAACTATCAAGAACACACAGAACACAGAACAACAGAGCACAAATGATAGTGTCTCCTTGCACAAGCATGAAGGTGTGCCCGGCGGACGCGAGCGTGGGGACGGCGAAGCTGTGCACAGCCTGGGAGAGGGGGCGCCGGCCGCCCGCGCGCGCGCGCCGGCCACAGGGGCCAGGCAGGCCCTGCGTGAGGGGCACCGCTGCAGAGGCGTCTAAATTCACGTCGGGCATGTCCTCCAACAGGCGGATTTTGGACGAGAACTACAAGCAACCCAAAAAATCCCAAATGGTCAAAATCGTAGAAAACCGTCCCCCGACTAATATTTGACTATTTTTGATACTTCCTTCTGTAGAGGAACAGGCCAGATTTAAGCCTAACCTCACGCATCGCGCTGCGCAAAGCGCAAAGTGCGAATGACTTCGCCCTCTCGCGCCGCCCCCAAGAGTGGAAGAGGAGGGAGCCGAAGCGCAAGGCGCGCAGCGCGAACAACTTCGCGCCCTCGAGGGCGACCTTGACGATATGGCGGTAACTAGCATGTGAGCGTTTTCTTCATCCGCGCTTCGACATTGGGCGGAAGGGGGGGTGGAGGAGGGGGGTTCGGCTCCAGACCTCTGCTTACTGCGACTGTTTGCAGCAGTGCGTCCTATGGGGGAGAGGCTCCGCCTGCTCGAAAGAAGCGCCAAAAACGGCCAAGATCTACTCCATGGGGGGGGGAGGGGGGGGGCGAGGGCCCGCGCCGATCGGCAAAACAACGAATAAGAAAACGCTCACCATAGGGGGGGCACATCGACCTGGAATCGGCGACACATCGCCGATTGATCGGCGATAGGCCCTGATAGTGAAGCCGCAGGTTCCTGGGCAGGCTGGGGCTATCGGGCCCCTGTCGGCGATCCCAATGGGCGATTGAGGGGGCCGATGCATCCCCACCTGTGCCTATCCCCCCGTATCGTTGCCCCTGAGAGGCCCGGGCTCCGAAGTCGTGATTTTTGTTCACAACGTCGACCCCCAAATAGAGGCCTCCTAGATGGGGTCGGAGTAGATGGAGTCGGAGGACCGCGCCGCATCGCCTATGCATCGTCGACGTGGGCGAGACATCGGCGATGTCGGCGTGGGGAAGCACGGGCTCTGGAACCATATCGTCGGTGCATCGGTGATGCGGCGTGATCCTCCGACCCCATCTACTCCGACCCCATGTAGGAGGCCTAGACCAGAGGTCTCGACCCCTTCCCGGGGGCCGGTTTTTCATCCTGAATTCGTTTCCTGACGGTCCCGAGGCCCGGCAAAGGCCCCCAGAGGACAAAAACATCGAACAACCTCCCGTCGTGATTTTTTCACGACGCGAGAGGGTCCGAAGAGGCCTGGGCTCCTGTGCCCCACGACGTGGCCCGGCTCTGGGCCAGTGCGGGCCGGCAATTGTGGGCGTCCGCCAGGGGTGGCCGTGGGCACGAGGCAGAGCGCGGAGCTGCAGGCGGCCGCCGTGGCATAGAAGAGGGTCAAGAAGAAGGGCTTCTGGTTGTAGTGCCTGGGCGTCGGCGGCCCCGCCGCCTCTCTCTGCGCAGAGTCGGCGGAGGAGGAGGAGGAGGAGGAGACACGAGCACGCCCGAGGCTCCGATGACAACCTGGCAACTCATCGTGCCCGCAGGGGTCTTCCAGCTCGGGCAGAGGGGGGAGGAGCGCTGCGCCCGAGGCACATCCCCCACCTTCTCCTCCTCCTCCTCATCATCATCATCATCCTCTATCCTTATCAAAGAAAATCACCCTGTCGCACACCGAGGCCAATTATTCGGGCGGGCCAGGAGTTTCGCCGGAGACTTCCTCACCATGTATGACTCTGAAGCTTTAAAATTGGTAACAGTTCCACATTTTGATGGCGGGTGGTTGTCAAAATCTGGCTCTCGCCTTAGCGCCGCGCACAATCGTTCTGAACGTTTGCAAGAATTTCACGGATTGAGGGCGACCCTTTTCAAAATGTATATCTCGCCTTAGCGCCGTGCCCATTCGTTTAAAAAAGATACAAGAGTCTCACAGGTTGAGGGCATACCATGTTCAAAATGTGGCTCTCGCATGAGCGCCGCGCACATTCGTTTTTGACATTTGCAAGAGCTTCACGTGCTGAGGGCTGTTCCTTTTCAAAATGTGGCTCTTGCCTCAGCGCCGCGCACATTCGTCTAAAACATTGCAAGAGCTTCGCGGATTGAGGGCGGTTCCTGTTCCGAATGTGGCTCTCGCCTTATCGCCGCGCAGATTCGTTTGTAAGATTTGCAACTGTTTCACGGATTCCCTTGGTCAACGTATCAGAAGCGGTGCTTCGGATGGATTCAGGATTATGGGGGTGCAACAATTACGTTCATTCGCGGTGTTGAACATCAAGACGGGCGTTCTTGCAAGATTCAGGATCTTCAAGACGCAACAATCAAATTGTTCCGTGGCGTCAAAATCCCGACAACAATAGTTTGACATGCTTCAGGGTCTTCAAACGGTTGTCTTCAAACGAGGCAGTTCCCTCAATGGAAATTAACCGCTGTAGGGCCGTAGGGGCTTATGAAGAGGGAGCTTGGAGGGAGGGTTCATTCCAAGATCGTTGATGATTATTGGGTTTACAGTAGTCCTCCTCCTCCTCCTCCTCCTCCTCCTCCTCCTCCTCCTCCTCCTCCTCCTCTCCTTGTGTTTATTATGAACATTCCTCCTCATCATCCTCCTCTTCCGTCGTCTTCTTCTTTTTCCTGCTCCTCCTCCTCCTCGGCCTGCACGGGAGTGGAAGCGACAGAGCGCTGCGCACCCCAGCGGGCCTTCCTGCCTGCCTGTCCCCATTGAAGTTCCGTCCTCCCTCGCCACCCCCCCTCCCTTCCCCCCATCCGAGAGACGAGCACCGCGGATCGAGGTGCGTCCGCGTCTGGCCCTCTTCGGGCCTCTTGGGCCTTCCCACCCCTCCTTCCACTCGCCTCAAACACCTCCTGCTCCAGGCCCTTCCGCCTTCCCCCTACACCTCCCCCCATCCCTCTCCCTCGCGGCTCCTCCCCCTCCTTCCCCCCTCCACCCGTATGCATCATCCTCCTCCTCCGCCTCCTCCCCCTCCTCCTCCTCCTCCTCCTCCTCCTCCTTCTCCGTCCTCCTGTTCCTCCCTCCTGTTCCTCCTCCTGTTCCTCCTCCCCCTCCTCCTCCTCCGCCTCCTCCTCCGCCTTCTTCCCGTTCCCCAGTGGTGACCCTCATGTCCCCCCTCTGCCGCTTCCCGATCCGCGGGGGGCCAGTTAAGACAACGGTCGCTTTCCCGCCCGACCAACATCCGATCAAAATCGGTCCCCGGACACCTCGACCCCTCTCGGAGTCCGTTCTGACTTGTTGTTTGTTTAAGCGGATCCACCGGTGGTGACGAGAAGCTTCCAGGAGCTGGAAAGGACAACTAGCCTGGCGAAGGACCCAACCATATGCAGTTGTGAGTACCGCAGTTGTGGGTATCGTATTCAGTGGAGCTCCCTATGGATCATGAAACGCTGTACTGGGTGGGGGATGCGCAGGCCAACTTTGCCACTGGGTCCTTCGGTGGTGCTTCCTATAGGCCACGAAACGCTTTACTGGGGGGGGGGACGCATGTGGACTTTGCCATCGAGACCTTCGGTGGAGCTCCCTATGGGGCCACGAAACACAAGACTGGGTGGGGCAAACGCTTGCTAACGATGCTACTGGGGCCGTCGGTGGTGCTCCCTATGTGGTCACGAAGCGCTGTACTGCGAGGGGGGAACGCATAGGGAAAGTGCTACTGGGGCGCGGTGGGGGAAATGCATGCGGACCCTGCCACTGGCGCCGTCGGTGCAGATCCCTATGGGGCCACGAAACGCTGTACTGGGCGGGGGGGACGCATGCGGGCGGTAGGGCTTGGACCTTCGGTGGAGCTCCCTATGGGGACACGAAGCGCTGTACTGGGCGGGGGAGACGCATGCGGAGGGTTCCTCTAGGGCCTTCCGTGGAGCCCCCGAAGTGCCAAGTGGGTGGGGGAAGACGCATGTGGACATTGCCATTGAGGCCTTCGGTGGGACTCCCTATGGGGCCACGGAGCGCTGCACTGGGTGGTGGGGACGCATGCGGGCGGTAGGAGTGGGACCTTTGGTGGAGCTCAATATTGGGCCACGAAACGCTGTACTGGGTGGTGGGGACGCATGCGGGCGGTAGCAATGGGACCTTCGGTTGAGCTCCCTACGGGCCACGAAACTCTGTACTGGGTGGTTGGTACGCATGCGGGCAGTAGCAGTGGGAACATCGGTGAAATTCCCTAATTGTGGGGCCACGAAACGTGTGAGGGGTGTGCCAAAATAGTTGATTGGTGCTGAGAGCAGGGGCATGTAATTATGGGAGGAGGGAGCAGGGGGATGGCAGCGGGAGGACGGAAGGAGACGCGGGGCGTTGAACAGTTGTCTCTTCAAAACGAGGACCCAACACCACAAGATGGTTGGAAAAAGTGCCAGGGAAGGCCGTTTTTGTCTCCACTGTCCACATAGGGCGCACATCTCGGAGGGGTATCTCACGAACCACGCAATGCAAAGGCTCACTAGAGGCTGGGATGATGGTTCTACCCATCCTGTGGGCGATGTGTAGCTCAGCAGCTAGCAAGACTTGGCCAGGAGACTAATGAGCCCGTCACTGACAATCGCAAGGCTTACTCAGATTGCATCACCCGAGGTCTGTGGCCGAAGGCTTATAGGCTTACAGCGCAGAGATGGCCAGGAGCCCGCACATCTAAGCAGCTTTCCTCTACTAGCCAACACAATCGTAATACGAATAACCACGTGCCGCACTGATCCTCATTCTCTTTCTCCTCCCCTCACCCCTTCAAAGGTCCCCACGGGTTTGCTCCCGAGGTCCCTGGAGGCCTCCGAGATCCGAGAAGCTCCAAAGGCGCCCAGAAACCTCAATCCTCGAACCTCGATCCTCTTGGGGGCGGGCTGACTTGGGTCAGCGCCAGCCCCTATGAACACGGGGGTTCCAGAGTGGCGCGATATTCATGGGTCTGGGCCTTTTTTGGCACCCAGCGAAGATCTCAAAGAGCCCCGGAAACGGAATGGCAGTTTTTTACTACCGTTTCCGAAATACAATGTCTTGAAAATGGGTACGGTAAAAAAAAACGTCAGCTGAAAACAACAAAGAAACGGTTCCAACAATTGGAGCCAGAATAAACGCCAGCAAAATAACGGCGACGGAACCGAAACAACGGCACGAAAACTCGCGCAACAACGGCAAAACGGAACCGGTAAAAAACGGCCGTCGTTTCCAGGGACCACTAAGCCGACAATCCTTGATTCCGACCTTCAGAATCGCCAGACCCAGCCCCGTCTCCACTGGAAAGCCTTTGCCAAGTTGTCCGACCAATGCCCCCTGGATGGGGATAAAAATGCCTTCTCCGACAGGCTTCGCAGCACGAGTCCCCGCCTCGAGAGTACGGTCAGACCTGGGACAGAAGAACACCATTAATGAACATGAGGCCCTCTGCCGGCCAAACCGAAGAACACTCGAGTGCACCCTCCAAACAAGCACGAGGAACAGTAGGGTACCCTGACCGAACCGACCTCGATCATCATACCTCGGTCTGACCGTATGCAGGTGGCCCTGAGGAAGCCTGGACCACTGGAGATGGGGGCAACTCCGACGATCCCCCTTCCCCCCAGACCTCCAACGTAATGATGTGTTCGCAACGTGGACCTCCGCAAGTCTACTGGGCGAGTAGGACGTAATGATGCGATTTCCTGAGGATACGTTCCAGGAATTCCAGAATATCCACCGGCCCGCGTTTCTGGAGCTCGTGCGAAGCACTGAAATCATGGAAATCTCGGAGCGTACCATCATGACTCCTCGCTCCTCCGAGTCGAACTCTTCCCCGAGACCGATCTTGCATCCCGAGTCGCTTTCTGACGGCCCCAAGGCCCAGCGACGAACCCCAGAGTGCGAAAATTGCTGTCAGAAAGCCTCCCTCCATGATTCATGTCACACGGCGGAGAGGATGTCTAAGTGTCCCCCATCCCGGTGGGCGCGCGGGCCCGACGCAATTTGCCAGCCAGGGGCAGTGGTGGTCCATCCGCAGGATGCCCTTGTTGCACTGCCTTGGGCGGGCCTACATCCAGATCCTCCTCCTCCTCCTCCTCCCGCTCCCCCATCCTCCTCCTTCTCCCCGCAGGCGGCTGTGCAAAGCGACGCAGGGCACAGGCTAATCGCTGGCTGCGTCGTACCTGTACCAGTCCGAATAACGGATCTCCTTGGTTTAACCAAGCTGACGCCATCTCTTGCTTTCAATGCGGGCTGGCCAAGAAGAGACGCTGCTACTTGTGTGATGCCGACCAGGCCGACCCCAGCAAGCATGTCGCACCGGGGCCCAAGTCTGCGGTGGCGCCCTCCGTGCGTTCAGCCGAGGACAAGGAGCTGGCGGCGTTGCGCAAGCAGCTGCAGCAGCTCCAGAAGGTCAAGTCGCCACCAGGTGCTGCTCAGCATCCCGGCGCTG